TGCTTTAATTCCCTAAATGCACACCCTCCCTAAATGCACGCTCTCACTCATTCCCAAGGGGGGTGCACTTATGGGGGTTGACTGTATATGGTTTCTGACTAGTATCAAGTTTGTGATTTTAATATTATCCCATTGAAGTGTGACATTTTCTAGAGAGAGAATCGCCTATATTAAGTTCAAAACATACATCACCCTTCTTCAGCTTTTCTTTTATATAGTAGCTTTGTTTATCATTCTAAAACGTCCAGTTTCAATTTCTTTACAAAGTACACATTGTTTATTTTGAAATTACTATTTTCACTATTATAAGTAGAAGTCAAGGGAGGAATAATCCGGTATGTACCACCCTTTTGGTATGGTACTCACCTGCCAGCGCAATAATAATAAGTTGATCATTCAATAAGTCAGCCAAAATTTTCATCACATGATCGATTTACGAGTGTTTTACATGTGTTTTTCAATCGAATTTTTAATTCACAATCACGTGATAACTTCCATAATTTGCCAAAAATAGATTTTTATTATTATATATATAAATTCATTTATTTGCATATATTAATATATTAATATACAAAAAAAAATCTAAAAAAAAAGCGAGATATATGATTGGAATGGAGTTTTCCCGGCCCTCTAACCAATAAATCAGTTATATTTTTTATTAATGTTATCGAAATTGGCCACGTGGCACGGAACTTTAGCAGTTTTTGGAACAAACAAAGAAAATCTATACTGGAATTGTAAATTTCTTTATCATTATATTCACATTCATATAGAAATATAAATATGTGTAAAATATAAACCAAATGAAGTAAATAAATAATAATAATAATAATAATTATTATTTTTTCTTCATATAATTTTACAATAATAACTACTTTCTTTTCCACAAATTTAAACTTGCAAGTTTGTGGTGTAAAAAGGTTTGAAATTGATTAATTATTCATTAGTTTATTAACAATCGTTTTTCCACATGTGTAATCTTTTTGTTTCTCTTAATATGTTATATTCAGTTATTTAATTAAACATATAGATAAGTAGAAATGTGGCCTCCAATTGACAAGTTACCTGAGGTCCAATCCTTTATAGGTGTAATTTTTGCTGTCACTGGAAACGTAAGCTTAATAAGATATTTTATTTATTCTATTCTTATCTATATTCAACAAAACAATGTTAATAGAATTTTTTATTAATTATATAACTTAGATTTTGATATCTATTGCATTGAATTTACAAAAACACGCACACAATGAACTTCAGAGAATTAGTTGTGATTCGGTAGCATTTAGTGATACTCGTAGCGGATCTAATCCACAACGTCCCACCTCTTTATACGATTCTGATCTACCGACGCATACTCTACGATCAAGTGAAAGTGATGATAGTTATGTGATGTTGACTGAATTCGATGATTGTGATAACAAATCTCACTATCTTTTTTCCAAAGCTTGGTGGGCCGGAATATTACTGATGGTTATAGGTAGATTTTTTTATTTTGATAATATATAGATTGCGTGTGAATGGATGGATACGTGTGGGTGGATATGCAGAATGATAATGTGGCTATATATATACACACGCGCATGTACACTTATACATATATATTATTAATTTTAGGCGAATCAGGAAATTTTATAGCTTATGGATTTGCACCTGCATCGGTGGTTGCACCATTGGGAACTGTTGCTCTAATTTCCAATGTAATATTGGCTCCTATAATGTTGAAGGAAAGGTTTCGCACGCAAGATTTATTCGGAGTTGTTGTTGCCATAATCGGTGCTATTATTGTAGTGCTTAATTCTAAATCTGAAGAAGTAAAGGTAAATATAAAGACAATTTTTTATTTTTACATATTTTATTTATAGATATAAATATATTAACACACTCCCATGTATCTATTTAATGTATCATCGTTGTAGCTTTCACCAGAAGCAATATGCGAAGCAATATTGCAAGTGAAATTTCGTATTTATCTAATTGTTACCGTTATTTTGACCAGTTGTCTTCTGATTGCATCGATTAGATATGGACACAGATTAATTTTCATAGATTTATCCTTAGTTGCAATATTTGGTAAGATAAATTACATTTATTATTATTATTATTATTATATTTGTTAAATTGTAAATTTATGAGCCAAGATTATTAACTAATAATATTATTAATAATATTGTTAGGTGGTTACACTGTATTGGCAACTAAATCGATTTCTTCATTATTAACGCTGACATTTATCTCAATGTTTACATACCCAATAACCTATTTATTGTTTTTTGTATTGTTAAGTACGGCTGTACTTCAGATTAAATATCTTAACAAATCATTAAGCCAATTTGATTCAACGGTAATTTTTTGGTCAATTGTAGTAATTGTTTATGATATCGTTTATATTTTATTCCAATCCATAAATAATTTAATGATATTTAGGAAGTAATTCCAACACAATTTGTTCTCTTCACAATATCAGCAATCATTGGCAGCGCTGTTTTATATAATGATTTTGCTGATATGGATTTTTGGAGATGTACTGGTTTCTTGGTTGGATGTTTGTTAACATTTTTGGGGGTTTTTTTTATAACCTCAAATAGAAACAAAACTCGTGGCTACACTCTGGTTTCAACGAATCCAACCCAGACACCAAATCCAATCTCTGCAATTACAGATGATGATGGCGTATATAATTCACCTATTGACTTTGATGGACACTTTTCATTCAATACCCATCGACCAATTTCCAGCTCTACACCTCGTAGACATACACTAAACGAATCTATAGATATTGCCACCCCGCTTTTACATGGTGAGTTATATCCGGCAAATTATTCTCACTCAAGAAGCGATAGTATTTTCAAATCGTTGGTTGATGTGTCTGCCACAACGATCACTGGGGTTGGTCAAGCGTTAAATTCTGTTGGTGCTCGCCACTCACATGCCTTGGGATTAGGTAAATTGAATAAATTTTATATACTGTTATTTTGTAATTAATTTATACTCATTTCTTTCTTTTTCTTTTTTCATTTTCTTCCCAACTTCTCACCCTATTTCCTTTTTTTTATTGGAAAAAAAGAATTATTTTAAACTAATTATTATTTATTTATTTTTCTTTTATATTTTTTTTGGGGGGTGTGATAAATTGTTAATAATTTTAATAACCATACATATATACCTAATATACACAATATACATAATATATACAATAACATAATAACATACATATAATAAAATCAATAGACCAAGTAATCGAGAATTATTTTTTAAAAATGAGAGAAGAAGATAGATTAAATAATAATGATCCCAGTAATAATGATTCTAGCAATAATAATAATAATAATAATAATAATAATAATAATAATAATAATAATAATAATAATAACGATGATAATAATAATAATAATAACAATGATAATAATCATCGTCGTAGTTACTCTGTTCCTGCAGCAATTAGAAATTTTGTTTATCCAAATAATAATTTTAATCATTTCAGAAATTTACATAATAATAATAATAGAAATAATAGTTTTAATTTTTACAGAAATTTTAACTATTTAAATAATAATAATATTAATCATGACAACAATAGCAACAACAACAACAACAACAACAACAACAACAATAACAACAACAATAGACATAGTAATTATAATAGCATATCAAATAATACTAATAATACTAATAATATTAATGTTAATACTAATGGCACCAATAATCGTTTTTATAATAATAATAATGTTAATGTTAATGTTAATGGTAATGAACAATCGAAATCACCAACAGATTCATCGTACCTTGGCACATCATTTACTAATTCTGAATATTATAATTCTGGATATAATACTGAATCAATACAAGAAGATTATGAGAGCGATGATGCTGATGATACAAGAACAATTAGTGGTTTAACAATTTCAACTGATAATAGCGGTAATTTAAGTAGTGGATTATATTCTGGTGAAGAATATGATGATGATAATGAGAGCGGTTCTTATGATGTATTTTCTAATTATGGTGCCGATGATATGGATGGTGATTTACCAGATTTGCCTTCTAGGAATGAACATAATATAAATAATGGTGAAACTAGGAATGAAAATGAATCATAATTATCACAGTCATGGAATATTAGTTTAGTGTTAATAGTATGTATATATGGACAATTTCATATATAAATATTTATATACGCATACACGCACACACACACACACACGCATTATACGCTTATAATTATTTATTTATTTATTTATTATTATTATTGTATATTGTAGATTTTTAGTATATATACATATATATAAAAATTTCATCAATTCAAAAATTTTTTACTTGATATTTTTCCATTTTCTTTCTATACATTGCATTGTCAAACCTAAAAATATTTTTTAAAACATCTTTCTAATGAATGAATGTTCTTGGAAAAATGCAAAGATCTTGTTGATACATGACCAACAATTAAGGGTTTACATATGGACTTGTTACATCGCTGTTGATATTAATATTATTGCGATATCCTTACTTGTGTGTATTTAGCCAAAATTTCCAATCAAATATATTTATTTATATTTTAGCAAAAATTTGAAAAACACAATAATGAGCGAATGATAAGGTAAATTTAGTAAATAAATAGAATAAATAACAAAATGATATTATTGAGAAAATGGTTCGAGATAGGTCTTCAATTTATTCAATGAGTCACTAATTGAAAAAAAGTTTTAAAAGTTAAATATTAACACCAACCAACGTCAATCAATCAATACCAATAACCAAAATTTTACCTAGCAAAATAAGCCCCCACTACAATAAAAATCATCATAATCACTAATAAAATATTAGCCCGTCTCGAAGCCAGGACTTTGCATCGATCCAATTCTCTCAAAGACTCTTTTAATTTCTTTATTTCGTCCACATATTTGTAATATTGAATATGATTATTATTCTCGACCTCTCTTAATTTACTTTCAAATTCTTTTACCATTCTCATCAATCGGTTACGTTCATCTTCACTCAAATAAAATCTCTTCTCGTAATTGCATTTTTCCTCGATCAATTCACGAATTTCTCCCTCGTTTTCAAATTTTAGAGTTTTCAATTCCTCGACAGCGACCTCTTTCTTGTGGCATTTCTCTTTTAATGTTGAAATTTCATCTTTTAAATGTTTGACAAATACATTTTCGGTTATTATTTTTGTTGATTTCTCATTGAAATTGGTTGTCAATTCTTTTAAAATTTGAATCAATTCTCGAACATCTTCGGTTTGTTTTTCTTTGATCAATTCTTGTGCCAATTGTTGTTGTGCTGCTGCTTGTTTATTACTAGTGCTGCTATTGCTACCACTTCCTCCTCCACTGCTACTAATGCTGCTTCTACTACCACCGCTACTGCCATTACTAGCATCACTACTACCAACATCAACAATGTATCTCTCTAATTTATGAATTCTTTTATCAAATTTATTTTCTTTGCTTTTCACTTCTTCACCAAGATATTCGAAATCATAATCTAATTTTGTGATTTTATTTAAAATATTTTCCACAGTCTCTTGGAATTTGTTATTATAATCATGTACAACATTTTCCAAATCTAAAATTTCGTTTTTATCAGACAATTTTTGAATTTCATTTTTCATATTTTCAACATCATCTTTAATTGCGTTAATCTCGTTATCAACTTTTTCGCTAATTTTTTTCTCGTGTTTTCTAATTAATCTACTATTATTATTGTTGTTGTTGTTATTGTCGGTCGATTCTTTTTCTTCTGATAACTTTTCATCTTTAATTTGTCCAATTTCATTTCCATAAATTTCAAAATATTTAACCAATTTATTTTCTAATTGATTAATAATTTCTTCTTCAATCAATTTACAATAATCAATTTCATTTACTACTATTTCTTTTCCTCTTTTTCCCATCGTTGCCGCTGATTCTTTTTCTTTATTAACACCATTGAATTGAAGTGATGGAGATGATTTATGATTAATTTCATCATTTATAATAATATTTTTAGATTTATTATCATTAAGTCATCAAACCTTTTTTAGAATCTTTGAACAGTTCTTTAATCGTCAGTTTAAACAATTCAAAATCTTTGTGCAAATCTAGTCTTATGTTTTCAATTCTCTCTTCGAAATTGGCATGAAACAATTGTTTAAACAATGATTCAATTCTCCGTTTAATCTGATTGAAAATATTTTCATAATCATCTTCATTCCTAATGCACAAAAAAAAAATCCATTATATAATTTTTATTTTTAGGACAAAATATAATGATAATAATAATAATAATAATAATAATAATAATAATAATAATAATAATAATTACCTTGGCGTGTTAAAAGGTAATGAGATTTTATCTTCAAAATATTTGGTAACGCTACCATCATTACCGTTAACATTATCATAATCTTTGTAGATGCTTCTACCATTATCAACAATTTCAACATCAAATGATATCAGATTTTCGGTTGGATCAATCGATTTGCTATCAGTATTATCATTATTATTATAACAATTTTTGTCTTCTTTTTGATTATTTTTCTGTAAATCTTTTGATGATTGAGCTTTTGTTTCTTCATTATCAACTACTACTTTATGCTCAAGATTTATAATATTTGTAAATTTAGATGATGATAATGATGATGGAATAAGATAAATCTTTTGTTCTTTTTCTCCCAACGTTTGTTCTTCATCAAATGATCCATTTTCACTACTATCATTTATTCTGCCCTCGTCCACCACCATTTCCTCCTTATTCCCTTCATTAAGAATCTGTTCCGCTATAGTTTGTTCAACCGATCTTGCATTTTTTTCTTGTTGCTGTTGTTGTACGTAGGTTTCTTCTGAAATTGTTGATTTTACTAGATCAGATTCAGAATCTTTATTTGTCTTGCCTGATGATGATGATTCTTTTTCTTTTGATGATTTATTATAATTTGTCATATCTGGTGTTTCCATCTTGTTATTAGTTTGAAGAGGGGTTTTTTTGAGAAAAGCCTTTTCCTTCTTTCCTCCTATTGCTAATATTACATACTTGTATTAAATATATTAATTAATTACAAATCATTGCATAATTATGATACCAATAAAAACACACATACATACATTATTTAAACTCCAATTAATTTTTTTAACAAAAAATTTTTGGTTCATACATTTATACGGAAAAACATATCAATGAGGCTTTGCTAGAAAAATCGAGCTCCATCCAAAATTGCTTTTTTTTTTTTTTTAATGAGCATGAAAACCAAAGTGAACGTCTGAAATTTCAGGGATCAAAATTTAACACCACCAATATTGATAACGGCTTAAAAGGTAGCAAACTTCATAGTTCAACTACTCGGCACACAGGTTTATAAAAATGCTGCCAGCGGAGAGAGCATTGTTAAAAAGAAATTATTTTTGTTAATTGTATTATTGTGTGACATTGATATTTAACAATTAAAAAGAATCACCATCATTGTCAAGGTCATCAGGAAATTATATAAAAATATTAATTAATTAATTAATTAATGTAAAATAAATAACTTATTGGTGATTATGAGTCATGATTAATTTCTAAACCGTCTTTATCGTAATTCCTGTTATTATTATTAGATCAAAGTTTGTGAAATCAATAAATAAATATCTTGGATTGCAAGCAGATTTATATAGTCATTGGCGTGATCTACATTTTCAAAGAAAATACGTTCTTAATAATCGTTTTCTCTCACAGGGGAGAGAGGGAAAGATAGAAAGAGAAAGAAAAGAAGAGCGGTTCGTTATACAGTAGAAATATCATTATTTATACCAGCGTTAAAAACTCAACGAGCGCGTGTTAACAATAGTTTGCAGATCTGCAATAAAATCATGCTTACCGCAGCCGACCGCAATTCTTGTTGTGATTAGTGATTGATATGGCATTATTTACCTATTATATATAAATTGACTTTTGTCAATTGACAATGTAACATTTTATTGCTTTATTGCTATTGTTAAAATTTCATTTTTATTTTTTTTTCAAGTCTCACGAAAAATAATTTCATAATCATGCGATAAATCATTCGAGTCACCACGAAATTGCTATCCCAAAATAAAATCTTTTTAATTGAAAGATTAGTAGAAATATAAATTTCATATGCATATTTTACTTTCCTGGTGCAAAAATGTAGTATCAAGACTCGAGATCAGCTCGAAAATTCCTAAAACATTCGGGAATAAAAACCTGAAACCGATCCGAAATTTCAGGTCGGTTTCGGTTTAGTATTTACCCGAAACTAGTCTGTTCGAGTGCTGATTTGTAACAAATTACCTCTTAATTGTGTAAAAACACAATAATAGATACACAACTAATTGTGCCAAGAATTTTAATAAATTGAATCTAGAATACAGTGAAACCTTGTTTCAGCGAAATTTTCTCTCCAGCCACTTTATTGTAATAAGGTTACACTGTATATGGAATTCCATCGACTGTAATCATAATTAAAAAACTTTTTAAAAGCAATAAATAAATATCAACTTATAATTATAATAATAATCATTATTATTTGATAACTTTGACAAATACTCCAACATTGAAGTCTTGATTTGGTTGATTGTATGTACTGTATCTGAATTATTTGTTAAATCATAAGCATGATGGCTAGTGGATCAGTGAATTAAGAATATTCAATAAGTCTGATCCACCTGAGATGTTTTAATGTTTACTATGAATGACGGTTTTTGAAGCATATGTTCAATGGAATATTTAAATTTGTGGTTGATTTATTATCTAAGTTATTCAATAATCAACTTCATGTAAACTCAATCAAATTTAAATCTTCATCACTATCATTTCTAATATCCAAACTTGAGGATTCCTAATTAATTGAGCAATTTCAGCCACAATTGCTTCTTTTTGCCACATTTACACATCACTCGAAATTTCACAAATGAATGTCAAAGAAAGTTTTTCTTCATGAATTTAGTACAAACAATGTGATCCAAAGCATTTGGTTTATATCATAAATGTTTAATAAAATTTTACACCATTTATTTTTATAATACCATTTTTACATACCAGTTGTTATCAGTTTCTCAAAAAAAAAAAAAAGCCATTCAAATATAATTATCCGAGGTCTTAGTAAAATCAGATGTCATCCAGATTGGCATCAACCGTCTTATTTTGACCTAATCACTATCCGATGGATAGGTTATTGTAACATGTTGATTGATGACAATTTTTAACAAAAATCGGTGACCAAATGAATATCAATCGAGTTATTTTTGACAGTAACTTTAAGGATACATTTTAGTTTACTAATTGATTATTGATAATAAATTAAGATGTTTTTAATCGGTGATTCTAATAATACCTAATCGAACTTTGATTATTAATTGGATATCAATCAGATAGGTGTTGTAGTTTGAAGAGGCGAGAGTCAAAACTAAAATCAAAAGGTATATGTCAAAAGTCAAAAATCAAAACTAGTTTCGGCTTTTGCACAGTTGTGAAACTCTATAGTTTTGAAAACCAACACTAGTAGAGATATAACACCCTATGGAAGAAGGGTGCTTCTACACAAACACCGTCTTTCTTCTCATAGTGTAGGGTAGGGAAGAGGAACGCAATAATATTTTTAATAAACCAGGCTCATTGCTACACACATTAATAAAATTCGCAGTATTTAAGTTCTAGTCACATGATGGTGTAGCAGAACTTGTGCGATTAAAGTCAAGTAGCCAACTTAAGATATAAAAAACCCCAAAAAATCGGAATATTTTTTATCAATCAATCAGTTAATTAATCAATCAGTAAATAAACAAGCAAGCAGGCAAATAAGGTTATTTATAGATATAAATAAACATTGTCTAAATTTTTTTTTTTTCATTTTTCTCCTTTGGAAAAAAACCATTTCAATTAAAACAAAAAACAACAAAATTTATTCATAAAAATAATAAAAAATGTTGACTGGAGATACGGTACTTGGTGTTTCTGGCGGTATCATTGGACTAATTATAGTAATTATATATTTTTTACTATTATTTTTTATTATGAGCACAAGAGTAATTTACTAATTAACTGTTGTTCATTAATTATTTTAGTTTATCGTTGATATAATTATTGTCTTTGAGGTTCTTAACAGTAATCGTACATTCAGTGGTAAATTTGTCTGGGTATTGTTAATCTTTTTATTTCCAGTATTCGGTTTGATTATTTATTGGTAAGTATTTGTTAATAACGGTAGTAAGTCTCCTTATAGTAATAATAAAGATAATAATAATCTTCTCGTTATTACTTGATTATTAGGTTATTCTCTAACCGTAAAGAACATGTTGTGCAGCGTTATGAATCGATTCCTTGAGAAAAAAATCCTATAATAAATAAATATTTTTTAAATTTATTGTTGCTAATGTCCTTCAAATTTAAATATTTGTATTTTATTTTTTTACAAATCTTTTTCTTTTTAACAAAATAAAGAGATTTTTTATTTATTGTTAACTTTACATCAATGATTATTAATCTTTGGAGTTATTCTAATCGAAAAGAGAATGGAATTAATTCCCTCTTTATTAATACATACTACTACTAGTAATATTAATATCTTTATTATTACATTACTTGGGTCTTATGTTGCACCATGAATACAAATCTATAAATAGGAATAATGGTAATTTCAAAATTAATTAAACCAAAAATAATGATCGAAAACCTTTTTACTCATTTTATCTGTTTTTTTTTGTATGTATAATAACAATAATTGATCATTTGCAATTAGAAGAATAATTACTAACTATAGGTTGTAAATTTTGCAAAACAGGTACTTTTTGAAATATTTGTTGTCATCGAGATTTTACAAAGCGATAATAAATCAAAGTATTTGTTGATTGTCTTGGTTATTATTTTCCCCGTGATATCTTCAACAATCCTTTCTCTTATTCATGTGCAAATAGAATACTGATACTATTACTATTATTATTATTATTATTAGACTATATTGATACGATTATTATTATTAACGCTGCTAACACTGTTTATTATTTATTATAATGCCATTTTCTTGATTTTCGTACAAATAATATTCTGTCAGCGACAACAAGAACAATCTTCTTAATAATGGAACAAACAACAATCGTCGATATCAAGCATGTAATTTATTTTTAATAAATTCAATTATTTTCTTTTTACGTGATAATTAATCTTTTCTTATCTAACATCAAATCAAATATTACAGTAAGAACGTAACTTGATAAAATGAATTTTTTTTGTTATAACGGTTTTTCTAGTTTACCTATTCATTTATAATAAAAACTAACTCAAAGACTAATATTCCTATTGTTTCACAAGACGAATAATAAATTAGTTTTCACATCAAAAAAATGTTAAAATGAAAAATACACTAAACAATCGAAACTTATTCCAACGAATAAAGATCCTGCTACTCGTTTTAAAATTTGTTAGAAGTAGCATTTTATTATATAAAAGTTCGCTAGCACGTCAACATAGTATAGAAAAATATATAAATTTTGAGCCCAAAACAAGTACATCGGTTTAACGAGTTTCGACTGTATTAGAACGTCAACATCAAACCACAAGTTTTTTTGATAGTTTGTGGAAATTGATTGTTTTTTAAATAATTACTTACAATCATATGTAATTGATCTATCGAAGTTTCATTATCAAAATATTGATGGATATTTTTCATATGTATTTAATCTTTAATTTAAAGTATTACTTATTTGTTTGAAACAAATGTAAAAACGGCTAATTTATTTACTTGTATCGCAATAAACAAAAGCAGTAACATGAAATCAAAAACTCCTACAATGAACTTGCGTTCCTTGATTTAGACAAAAACGTTAAATTATATGTAGATGGCAACTATTAATTCGGATGTTATCAGTTGTTTAAAAATTTACTGCTCATTAAACAAATTATTAACTAACTTAGATTTTCGCAAGAGATCAAACTTCTTGTTTAATAATCAAATAATAATCTT